CCTGGAACAAGTGTGTCTGTACCTTTAAGAATTCTCCCGCGTTTGTCTGGGAACCGGAAGTAGGGGGGGTTTTTCGCGCTAAATTGAAACAACAGAGCACTCCACGCGCGGACCGATTCACTTCTCCTGAGCCTCTCACTGCCTCTGCTCCTCTCAAACCAGGTATGCTTTTATGTTACTTTTTATTGTTTTATAAAGTGCTCTCCAAAGCAGTGCATACATACATTTAATCTTTGTAACAATTTGCCATTTAAAACAACATTTTGTGTTATTTAGGTTTTTGAACTCTGCTGACTCCTTCCTTTGGTCTCTCTGTCCGGTGAAGTTAAACATGGAGGAAGCCAACAAGCTCGTCGGAACTGGAAAGAAGTACCTGGTGATGGGAAAGGTTGTGGAGGCGGTGAGCTCCCTGCAGGAGGCCTGCGGCATGCTGTGAGTTCACCGCAGCACTAAATAAGAACATTAATACACTTTATATAGTTCTTAAAGCTGGCGAGTTGGAATTAACTTTAATTATTAGATACACATTTTAGCTCTTAAAGCAGTTTTTATTTGGCGACAAATATTTAATTTCCAGTAATGCAATTGTTTGGTTGATGGCAGTTTCTTTCAGGTGTGCTGTATTATACTGATTAAATTCGCCTCAGACCGGATGTTATCCATTCATTACGATAATTGATCTGTGGCAGCTGCCTTCAATGGAAATGAATGTCTCTTTATCTGGTGTTTTTATCCTTCATGATTATTAGGCAGTATTGGAGAGTTCATTAAAAAACTAAAGTTGGTTTATTAAACTAAACAAGTTTCTAACCTCTTTTAAACATCTATCAAATTCCTTCTTTTAACTACATTTTAAAACCCAAGATTCCTCCTTGTTTAGGTATCAATCCTGGTTTGCACATAAATTTGTTTTAAGAATAAAGTAACAATTTTCAGTGTCCTATTGCCCAAATACTTAAAGTATATATCAAGATCCAAGTTTGATTTGTAATCCATTTGTCATCAGAGGTATAATTTAATGTAACCTTCCTTTTTAGATTTATAAGTCTTCCAAGGAACAAATTTATTCAACTAAATTAGACTAATAGACTTAGAAATATTTTATTTTGCCATTTTTTACACACAATAGCAGCAGAATAAATAATAAATGTTCTACCTGTTAAAATATTTCAAATCCAGAAATTTGAGTTTGGGAAAATTGAAAATAGATTTCAAGTGGAGCTGTGTCATGACTAGTTTTTTATGAAAGTTTTTCTTAAGTGAGTTTTGGATTGGTATTGATAAATTTGCAGTATTTATTAAAGGACTATTTAATACTGTAGAGTCTGTTCAAAGCCTCAATCATTTCCTTCAGTTTCAGGTTGGCTTTTGCTAATCAGTAATTAGGAAAACTATATCAGGACAGCTTTAAATGCTGCTTATTCCCCCATAGAAATGTAATCCTGGGTTGGTTTTTGACTCTGATTGGTGCATATTCTTTCTGTCTAAAATGAAAGCTGTTTATGTCCTCAGATTTTAAGCTATTAACCAACCTGCCTGTAGGATTTCCATTAACAGTCAAGTTCCTGGTGACGTGTTGAGATCTTTTGAGTTGCATATAAAAAGGTCTAACTCTTTGCCGTCAGAGTAGTTGCTGACATGAGCCGCCCCCCTATCCCATGTAAAATGGTGAATGATGAGAAAAATGAACCAGATCCAATTCCTCGCCACATAGTTAAAAGTTAAATGCTCCTAATGAGCTAAACAGATGGCTCAGGATGACCCAAACGAGTCTAATCTTATAGAAGATCCTGAACGCAGCATGGAGACCTAACTGGTCAGCTTCTGTCTGCTATCATTACTTCAGCAGAGCCGTTTCTGTTTAGCCCATGTTACCCAAAGTCGGTCCTTGATGTCCGATGTCCTGCAGGAAAGCCTCTAAAACCTGCAGGACAGCTGCTCTCGAGGACTGACTGGACACGCCTGGTTTAGCCCAGCTGTAGCCTCTGATGGATGCATCAGTATAAATGAGTCTGGAACACTGAGCTGACTCTAAAAACCTGCTTGATTCTTCAACTTAATGAAGGACGTATTTATTTCAGAGCTAAGAAGTACGGAGACACAGCGGACGAATGTGGTGAGGCGTTCTACTGGTGTGGTAAAGCCCTGCTGGATTTGGCTCGGTGGGTTCAAAGGGCAACAGTAACCGAAGCCTGAATGTGTTTTAAGACAGAAAAGTCTAATAGGAAGGATGTGATTATAGGATGGAGAACTCTGTCCTGGGAAACGCTTTGGAAGGAGTGCCAGAGGAGGACGAGGAAGAGGGGAAGCCCAAAGACCCCAACATCGAGAGCGCCGAGAACCTTGATGGTGAGCAGACTGGGAGACACCTGGGGCCTTCTACTGCTGCTGGCTGTAACTCTGCTCTCCTTCTCGTCATTAGAGAAGACCAGAGACGAGCTGAGGGTTCAGGTGTACGACGCCATGGCGGAGAAGGAGGACGGGAAGGAGGGCAAGGCTGCAGAGGAGGATAAGGAGCAGGACTCGGAGGCTACAGCTGATCAGAAGAATGGAGAATCTGAAGGAAACAAAGACGAGACGGAGACTGGAGAGGAGCCACCTGCTGAGGAGGACAAAGATAAAGCACCAGCAGCTGAGGAGAAGGGTGAAGAAGCAGCAGAGAAAGACGGAGAGAAAGCAGCTGCAGAGGAGGAGGAGAAAGATGGAGAAAAAGCGGCGGTGGCGGAGGAGAAAGACGGAGAAAAAGCGGTGGAGGAGAAGAAAGACGGAGAAAAGGCGGCTGCAGAGGAGGAGAAGAAAGACGGAGAAGCAGGTAAGCTGAGTTTTCCATAGCCTATCATTTTGCTCTTATCCTGGTTTTAAATTTTTTGGCACTTTCCCATTTTAGATGAGGAAGAAGAGGCGGAGGAGGAAGAGGGGGAAGACGAAGAAATGGAAGCTGAAGCAGAGGAGCAGGCTGAAGACGAGGCGACCGCTGACAAGGTACTGAACCTGAACCGACGCTGTGGATGGCGTCCAGTGAAACCATAAAATTGAACCGTTCTGTTCTGGTTCTGCCTCAGGACAGCGAGGATGAGGTGGGGAACCTGCAGCTGGCCTGGGAGATGCTGGAGGTCGCTAAAGTCATCTACAAAAGGTAGCGCTGCTGCAGGGAGGCTACCTATGCGTCTACGAGGTGCGACGCTAACCTCTGGTGTTTTTATCTAGGAAGGAGACGAAGGAGGATCAGCTGATGGCGGCGCAGACCCACCTGAAGCTGGGGGAGGTTTCTGCTGAGTCAGGTACCACCGTCTGTTACATCCATGTTTCGTTTGGTCGACCCGATATGGGGCGTAGAGAGGAACATATTTCGCTGTCGTCTCAGGGAACTACACGCAGGCTCTGGAGGATTTCCAGGAGTGTCTGAAGCTCCAGCTGAAACACCTGGACTCGGACAGCCGGCTGCTCGCCGAGACCCACTACCAGCTGGGGGTGACCTACAGCCTGAACCTTCAGCACGCCGAGGCCATCGAGGCTCTCAATAACTCCATCTCCGTCATCAAGAGTCGGTTAGGTAAGGCCTGCTGCCGCCGCGGCCGCTCGCTGCACGCAGAGCTTCGTTATTAGTCAGACTCGCTACACCAGGGACGTTAAACAGGTTCCAGAAAGGGGCATGTGGCTGCAGGTTTTCTTTCCAACCAAGCAATAGCACACCAGACTGCATCTATCTCATTAGGTTGTCCTTTTAAGTGAGTCTTGTGTGCTATTGCTTGGAGAGAGAACCTGCTGCCACACGGCCCTTTCTGGAACCCGTTTAACATCCCAGCTCTTCACCTTTTTAGAGAAACTGCAGGAGATGATCGACAAAGCGGAGGGTCCAGAAGCTCTGCCAGAGGAGAGGAAGGAGCTGGAGGAGCTGAAGGCTCTGCTCCCAGAGATCCAGGAGAAGGTGGAGGACGCCACCGAGGGATTGAAGACCAGCGCTGAGGCTGCTCAGGTGAGCTGGACAGCAGGTGCCGACGAGGATCAGAAAATGCACTTTTGCACAGAATGTTCTTTTAGGCTACATTCGCACTGCAGACCTTCACGCTCTATTTCAATTTTTTATTTTTAGGAAATCTGTTTTTATATGTGATCTCCTGTGCAGGGGTGGAGCTAGATGGAGGGCCAGGGGGGGGCATGGCCGCCCTTAGCCAATCATTGGCCACCCCTACCATTTATTTCCCTCTAATAAAGAGGTAGTCGATTCGTTAGCAAAAGGCTGTTGGAAAATATCGTCTTTATTTAGAAAATATGGATGTTTTGCTCATTAATTTTTCTGTTGGAACAGCGTAGATTGACCATTTTAGTCTCAGTGTACATTAGTTTTTGCCTGGTCACCCTTATAAAAATGTTCTGGCTACGCCTCTGCTCCTGTGTGAACTGCACTCATACAACCCAAGTGTCCTGCATGCGCAGTAGAGGACGCAATGACGTCACAAGTGGCTGTTTATGGAAATAAACATGGATGGTAGTGCTGGAGAACATCTAGGGATATTTCCCAAACTTAAACTCCATCTTTCCAAGATGGTTAAACATAAATACTCTCTGCATCATCGTCCATTGTTGTTTTTCTTGCCACTTCTGCGTAGCAAGAAGCAGAAGAGTGACCACTGTCTGGTATTAATGACATTCAGGTCAAATGGGTGCGACTTGGCCGTTCAGACACAGGTCGCATTTGAAAAGATCGGATTCAGGAGCACATAACCAAGTGGCCTGGGTCGCATTGGGATACATCAGATCTGTGTTCATACTGTCATGAAAAGATCAGATCCAGTTCGCATATGGGCAAAGAAATCAGATTTGGGTCACTTCAGCCCGAGGTGTGAATGTAGCCTAGTCTAGGGATGCACAGGTTGGAATGCACTGCCCTTAGCAGTCGAGGACAGCGCCACCTTTGTTTCATTTAAGAACAGGGTTCCCGCGGGTCCTTAAAGTCTGAAAAGGCATTGAATTCTTCAAAATAAAACTAAGTCCTTAATTGGTATTAAAATGTCTTAAACCAGTCTTTTGTAGGTCTTAATTTTTAAAACATCATAAATAGGATTATTTTTATTACGATTTATTTTTGTAATCAAAATAAAACATTAAAATTGAAAATTAAATTTTTTTTTTTATTAAAATAACGGCTCGCCATTATTGGTTCCGTCCAGATAGCGGAACCAATAAAGCGTTGTTGCGGCCGGGACATTTGGGAGATGCACCATTAACTTTTTGTCTGGAAAATATGAGCAAGTGTAAATGTAACCAAAATTGTCTCCAGCCAAGAGTTTTCTCCATGGCTAAAACCAGGGAACATACATGAGGCTCAGTGGATTTTATGCAAGAAGCGATTTAAGCTCGGAATGATGGGAATTAAGGCAGTGGAGTCGCATGCGAAGCGCGAAACACAAAGCGTCAAAATCGAGTTACCAAGAAACAGCCGGTATTTCTCAGTTTAGTTCCACCCTTGTCTCTGCAACGCCTCCACTTATCACCAAATCAAACATACTAAGAAAACCATCCAAAGAAAAATAGCTGCAAAAAAGACTTAGCACTGGTTATGTTGTGGCTTTAAAACTGATTTGTTTTGTTCCCTGCTAAAACAAAGTTTGTGAATTCAGTTAAATAATTGTTAAAATATATCTGTCATTTGTGTGTTTTTAGCTTTCTTCCTGTATTGGAAGTTTTTCAAAATGTGAAACATTAGTGCAGTGGTTTATGTTAAAATAAACCTTTGGGTTAAGTTGTCGCAAGCAGGTTTTTCTTGTTTCTTGTGAATTTGGTCTTAAATTTTTATTTCAAATTGCATTAAAAAGTCTTGAAATTAACTTGCCTTATGCTGTAGGAACCCTGAAGAAACAACTTTAGCAATGGCTAGCTGGTAACCAGTTTTGTGATCAGTAAGAAATACGTTAAACACTTTAAATCTGGTAAAAAGCGCTCGGCTGTATTAACCTCAGTATCAAAAACACCCTTAAATATGAAGTCCTCTTCACTATATGTTATTTATAGGTATTGCATTGTGCTTCTGCTGAAATCGTCTATTTTCATGGTTTTTTTCTTTGTTCCATGTATGTTTAATCTATGATGTATTTCTTATTACATGCACTGTTTCTCGTATCTGCTGCTCCTATCCTATGGGACTATATATTAAAACTAGCCTTGAGCTAAATCAAAGTGTATGAACAGCTCCTACTGTTGATACATGCTGTTGCTTTAAAATACTGCTCTACCCGATGAGCTCGGCTTGTTCCATCTTATCTGTTGAAAGAGTTTTTAAAGTGTTTTATTTATTTTTTTTGAGTAGCAGGTTATCTGTCACTTTGGTTGTAGTTGTGGGACATTTCTGCCCCAGATGACCAGAGCTCTTCCTTTGCTCCCCCTGCAGGACGGATCCTCTGCTTCCACCACGCTGCCTGGTTCCACTGTAAACAATGACTCCTCATCCGCTCCAGCAGTGAGTATTTATTCTGCTTCTCTGAAAGGCTGCTGCCTGGATCATGGAGGACTTCCGATACTTTATATAAACTATTTTGTATCTGATGGATGGCTTTTGAAACGCCCTGATGTAAACAGACATGTTTTAATCAGAAAATGCATAAAGCATTGCATGGAAAGGCTTAATATATTACAAATAAAACAAATTACAGCTCCAAAAGCAAATGAAGATTTTTGTCAGATTGTAGTTGAGACTCTAGTACTTTTTAAGTAAATTTTCCTGACTATTGGGTCATGGTTAAACCACATCCTGTGATTGCTGGTAAGGAAAAAGATCTCTTCAGGACTGCTGGTGTTTTTTTTTTGTTTTTTTTTTACCTTTGTCTGCATTTAAAAGGTTTCCAAAGCCTCTAATTCAACAATTCTGAGGTTAGACACTCTGGATTCTCTGTTGCTCCAGGGTTGATGCGCTTTGTTCTGTCCCTTCCAATCTAGTGTTTGGTTTGATTTGCTTCAGGGAAAGGAAGTAGTAGTTTTAAACTTTTTTTTTCTTTTTTCCCCTCAGTTGATAATATTCAGTTTTCTTTGGAGATGTGATGCTGCGACCCCAGGCCAGTCGGAGGTCTTCCTGCTGACTTTATTTTTTTAGGTTTTAATTTAAGATTTTTAAGTACTACACTGGAAAAAAGATCTAGAAATGAGTAAAAATGTCTTAAATTAAGTGTATTTACCCTTGTTTTGAGTAGGTTAATGAGAGTTTGCCAATGGAATCAGTATTTTTACTCCTAAGATAATTAGATAGTATTCACTTGAAATAAGAGAATGCAATTGTTTTCTTATTTTAAATCTAAATTGTCTTGTTCCATTGGCAAGATGTCTTTTATCTCCTCAATTCAAGAACAAATGCACTTATTTTAAGAAAAAATGACTTATCAAGATTTAGATTTTTTGCAGTGTAGAAATTTTTAATTTTCCTCCTGGCAGGTTTTGGCATTTTTAGTCAATGTAGGTCTATTTTCTGCATCTATTCTGTGAATATCTGCATTTTTCCTTCTCTCCTCCCTGCTGGGTATGGTGCTCTAAATGCTGAAGACCAGTCGATCCAGGATCATTGCTGACTGTTTACTAGTCTAACCACTACCTGAATCTGATTTTTGTATGAACTGAAATGCTCAAAGTAAATTTCTAATTTTCCAACCAGATTAACAGCACCGGCAGTCCCAGTAAACAGGCCTCCACAGTCCCAGTGTCTGACATCTCCCACCTGGTCAGGAAGAAGGTAAGTGATGGAGGGGAGGCTTCAAACCATAACTGCTCTGTTGTGCAGCACACATTGTGTTTTCAGGATTTACTAAATCCTTTTTAGAGGAATGTGAAAATAATTCAAAGCATCTTGTGAGCATTTTGGGTTTTTCTGTAAATAGCAGCTGGTTTTCACCTCCAACCCTGCAGCAGAAAGCTGTTTGCTTCCAAACCCTGTGCTTCTGAACTGGAATTTTTCTTCTTTTTTTTTTTTTTTTTTTTTTTTTTTTACATTCAAACGATAAACTAGAACATAACAGTATATGGATTTTTCAGGTTTGAGGCCAATATTGAGTAATAAAAGAAAAAAAGCACTTGGCCACTAGATGGCGATATATGCCTCTGATATAAAAACCAGTGTGTGTAAAATATGCACCAATCAGCTTTGTTGGGAAGCCTAGTCAACTTATGAAATTTGGCGGTGAAATTTAGATTTCTGGATCTGCTTAGATGATTCATGTTTTTTTTTTTTTCTTTTCCCTGCAGAGGAAACCAGAGGAGAGTCCAGTAAAGGAAACTGAAGTGAAGAGAGTGAAGCAGGATGAGGGCGACGTTCAGCAGCCTCACACTAACGGCGTTCACAGCGCTAACGGTGACCCAGCAGAAAACGCTGAAACCATGGAGGTGGCAAAGTAGAGCGATCTGATTCCGACTCGGGCATTTCTCCAAGGTTTACTCCATCGATGATCAAGTTCCAAGAGTAGCTAGTTCCCTCATTCCAGGGGACGCGTCCTCCAAAGATGGTGGATCCTGCATTGTCTGCAGCCTCCTCACCAGAGTCATTTTAGTCTGTGAAGCCAAACTGGTCCCTGTTCCTCTGAACAGCTGTTTGGTGCCGTTTGTAAATACGTCGTGTCTTTTTCTCTACTGAGCCTTTTTGTAACGTGTAAAGATAAATAAAGATTGCTGAATAAATGGTGTCACTGATTATTCACCTGGAGATGCAAAGGAATGAGATTAGACCACTGATCTATGAAGCTGAAAACCAATAATTCCAGTTATGTTCCATTTGTTGTTGAATGGTGTCTTAATGTCAGGTTCTAGAGCAGTTTTCAATTGAAGATGCTAATGCAGATAAAGGGACCAGAGATTCTGAGTCTGGTTTTAACCACTGGTTATTTTTAAATGGGTGTTATGATTGTAGAGACCATAAGCTTTGTTTTTCCCCTCCCCATTTAGCAGTAATCTTGTCAATACAAGCCTTTAAAGGCTAATAAACTTTAAAGGCTGATTAAAAAAAGCATGTGCAAATGTACATTTAATGGCAACAATCTGCAGGTGCAGTATCTCAAATACCTTGATGCTGTCAAAGCTGTAAATGGGAATTTATATTTCAGGTCTGAACTTTGACTAGGCTGCTCCTGCATCTCTGATCCAGGATTTGTCTCTTCTGGATGAAGATGAACCTCTGATCTCCACGCTAACGGCTTTTACAGCCTTTAACCTCCTAACACCCTCTTAAGGGTTTGCAGCTGGCCCAGCGATAAGCTGGCACGACCCATTTATGGAGGCCTTAGTCCTCGACGGCCGACCTGGATTCAATTCTGACTTGTGATCCTTTGCCTGTTTTTTGTCCTCTTTTCTCCTCCCTTTTTTGTTGTTCTTCTGTCAAAATGAGCCGCTAGTGCTGTAAAAACTCCCCCCAAAAAAGTCTATCTGGGTATCTTAAGTTAGGGAGTGGTACTTGAAAATATGTAAGTGTGCCAGAAAATTTCCTCCAAGAATATTCTGTCAAACATTGTAATGGCGACTCGCTTCCTGCTGATCTATTCTATACACCTGGCTGTAAAATCACTTTTTTTCACAGAATCATCCTGAACATCACACATGGGTCAGATATGCCTTGGTTTACATGATGCATGAGGAAATGGGGTAAAGCACCTCCACTAGTTGGTGCATAGGATGCAATCTGTTTAAGACCGTCAATCTAGACCATTTTAGACCAAAATGTCTGCATCATTGTTAAAACGCAAAACTGGTTAAGCTACAAAAAAAAGCAAAGCATATTTATAGCATCAAGAGGTTTACAAAATGGTTCTGGAGCAATCTGTGGCTGTTTGGACCTTTCACAGCAGCTCCTAAAGCCATGACCTAAAAAAAGATTGGAAATTTAGAGACTAAATACTGCAGCAATAACTTAAAAAAAAAAATTAATATCTTGTCTGGAGTCCCTCAAAAGAAAAGGCATTAAAGGACACTTTTAATCTCATTGTGTCATCAGGTTGAAAGTGATTTGTCAGACCATTTCTACAAATAACATCCCATGGAAGAAAATCTGTCAGTTTGCTTTGCTTAAAGCTCATACTTCTCATCTGCTTTAAGCAGGACCATATCGCGGAGTCTTAGACTTCCACTCCCCCAGACAAGACCTCCAGCTGTGCTAGGGGAAGACCGAGGGGCTTCCAGGCCAGCTGAGACATAGTTCCATCAGCCTGACCCTGGGCCTCCTCTTTAGGGCAGCATCTAAGAGGCATCAAACCCAACTCAGTTGACTCCTATATGGAGAGAAGTGGCTAAACTCTGAACCTCACCTGACAGAGAAAGCTTTATTTCCGATCATGATCCAGATTTCATGACCACAACTTTTGATGGGGGCACAGAGCAAAAAAAAAAAAAAGGAAAAACAGGATTAAAGTTTATTATTTACTATATCAAGAGACAAAAAGCTGCTAACAGCTCTGGAGACCCTGATCTAGCAAGTGAATGTGGTAACATTTTCATTAAATCACTGTTGAAATAAACCTGTCAAACACAAAATGTTACTTTAAGGCACAAACTGCTCACACTGCAGGTGCAAACACATAAAAATATATCAGCTATATCTTAGACCTGGGGCCGAGTCTAATGGGCCGCTGGCCCCATCTAGAACCGCCCATGCTGAGCAGTTACATGTCATATCTGACTTCAGACCTCTGTAAAGTGGCGCTCTGGCTCACATTAAATTACTTTTGACAGTTTTTCCAAAGGACAGAGGAAACTTAGCAGTCAAGTGCTGCTGATTGACATGAGAAATCTTTTTTGCAGCACTAGTGGCTCCTTTTTTGTACAGCAGGCTGACAGGAAAGGGGGTATAAGGGGGGAGAGACATGCGGTCAAGGCCTAATTCTAACCCGGGTCGGCCATATGGAGGACTAAGGCCCCTGTACATGGTTTGTGCGCTATTAAAGCATGCCCAAAAAGAAGAAAAAAAAATCCTTTTATTTTTTTTTTTGCCAAATTAATCTAATGCTTGGATCAAATGTTATGCAGTATTGCATTTTTTTGTGTGCTTTTTCTCCTTTGTAACATTTCAGACATTATTTCTGGCTGTTTGGATCAAAGAATTATAGCAAACAGATACTAGAACACTTCATCTTGTAGAAATAGATTAAAGTAAAAAAAGAAAAAAAGAACTCCATATATTCCCCAAAATTTCCTTCTGGCCAACCGGTCTAGACAGAAGAGGTTGGAGGTGAAACACCACAGTAGTCGGATTCATAGTGAAACATATCAGCTTGTCAGGAACCAATTTTTATTAATATCAATATTAATGTGTCATCAGCATCATCAATGAAATGAGTTAGTCTGTTTAAAGCAGAATCAAGTGTGCATTCATTGCCCTTCTTTTTCTTGATGAACACTTCAGTTCAACAAAGCGAGGAAGAAAAAAGGAAGAGGGTGAGGAAAGGGTCAGAGGTCAAGGACTGCAGTGAAGGAGGAAACGCAGGGAAAACGACGTCTGGCAGAGCAGGAATCTCCCCCTTCACTGGGATATGATTGGTTTTTCCCTTGTGCAAGAATGACGAAAAAACAAAAAGAATTTGAGAAATTCAAAACGGTGCTCTAAAGGAGAGATGAGACAGGAGGAGGGGGGGTGTGTGGGCGGGTGGCTTGCTGGGATGTGGTGTTGGCTGTTTTGTTGTAGGTTTTTGTTCCGTAAAGCCGTGTTAGGATCTGATGCAGTCGTCGTCGTCGGAGCTCTGGCTGCTGCTACTGGTTTCCGATTCTGAACCCTCCTCCACGTGCGCCTCCGCCACACTCCTCCAGGGGGTGAAGTGGAGGGTCACGCGCCGCGTCCCCGGGAGAACCCCGTTCCTCTGCATGCCGTTCTTCTTCAGCTGGTGGTAAAAAAACCAAAAAAAAAACAAAATGAATGAGGAGGGTGGACGGGTTAGCAAGGATGCCGCAGTAATGGTCGATTTCTCACCTGTTCTGTTTTAGTTTGAAACTCTCTCAGCTCATCTTCTGTCAGAGGCAGGAAGTTGTCATCATTCTCTGGGTACTCCTGCCAGCCCATCGCCTTCAGCAGCCTGTGTGATCCCAATGTTCAGCTTAGACTGTTGTTCATGTATCAAAAATATGCAAGACAGGCTCAGTAGTTAGCAGCGTTCTCACCTGTGCTCTGCCTCCAGGGAGCTGGACAGGTGTTCTGTGTCTGAATCGCTGAGGGAGTAGGACAGGCCGTTCTCATGGCAGACCTCCTCACTGTAAGCTTTGGGCTCTGGGGTGCTGCTGTCACCCTGAGACAAAACAAACCAACACTTAGCATGTGATTGAAAAGCTTCTCAGCAACCCCCTCCCATCCCTCTAAACCTAATCTCATTTGGGTTTTCGGCAGCCGCTTACCTCTCCTGATGTTCCCGGGCTGCTGCTCGTCGTCAGCTCCCCGGTGCCCTCGTCCTTTAGAGTTCGCAGGAATTCGCTCTTTCGGTCTGGACCGCGGCGCATCAGCTTCAGCCTGGAGGGGGCGATGTCTATGGGAGGAGTCGTGCTGGAAGGTTGCTGCACGCAAAACCACAAAATAAATAAAGGTTTTTCATGCAAATAAAAATTAAAATGTATAATAATAAATGGGTCCAAAAAAGAACTAACAATCTACAGTATTTAAGGTTTTATTTTTTCTTAGACTGGATAAGAAGCCATCTTTTGTGCAGCTCTAACCTCTTTCTGGGTGTTGTGCTGTGGAGCGCTGACCGGGGTGCTGGGTTTGGCTGCAGAGACGGGGCTGGTGAAGACTGAATCCCGGCCGGGCATGTGAAGGCCAGACTTTGTGATCTCTCTACCACCGGATTTCCACTGGGTGCTCTGGGAAAAAGATGACAAGCTTCGTTTACAGAAACAGTCCAAGTCTGTTCAGTACAAAAAAAATTAACAAATAAACTTAAAACAAATGTTAAATCTGGCAGCTTAGGATGTCACCAACGTTATTATCGAATAGAGATCTTTTTGTTTACTGAATTACAAACAAAAACTAAGCCTAAAAGGAAAAAAAAAAACTAAAACTGTGATAAGAGTTTACAAATCTAATTAAAGATTAATTTTATGAGAGAATATACCTAGTTTTTGTTTGCGTCATTATAATAATGCATCCATATGACGGCTAGTTTCTGGTTGCTTTTTTTTTGGCTGTACCGCATTATGCCAGCAGATGGCAGCATGGCGGTCAGGTTGGTGCAGTGGTCCAACCTTATCTAGGAGTTTATTTCTACTATTCATTTTCTTTTTTTTTTTTTTTAATTTTGTTTTTTCCTTTCCGGATTTGCCCCGGTTTTGCAGGCCTTTTTCCAATTAAAAGTTTTACTTGTTCTTATTTTAAAAAAAAACAAAAAAAAACCTGAAATGATGATCGGAACATAAAAAACAAACTAGCTAACAATTAGTAAAAACAAATAAAAGCTCGATTAGAAGGCAAAAAAATTAAATAACAATAAAAATTTCAAAGCTATATAAACCTTAGATGACACCATACATATTTTATAAAGTTTATTACTGAAGGCTTATAATTGTAAGGGCTCTCATCATAAGACTATATTTTCCAAAAAGAAGGAGTATTTGGGTTCTGTTTTAATAAGGCCTCTGATCAGTCCAACTAAGCACAGGTATTGTGTATCAACAGAAATAAGTAGAAGTATAGAAACATGTGTAAAACAAAGATTCTGGTAATAATGGTTGCTG